TCACTCTTTTGACTGGGAAATTCATTTACACTCAAGGTAATTATTGATAGGAAATAACTCACTATTACTATTTTGTTAGTTGTTTTCTGTTTTTGTAGATCCTTTCTTTTGCAGCCCTCTTTAATAAGGAGATGTTTGTTGGTTTGGTTGGTTTTGGTACTGGGGATCAAACTCATGACCTCATGCTTGCCTGAAGGCGCTTACACCACTGAGCTAAACCACCAATAAGAGGTGATTTTCTTTAATGGTATGCTTTGATTGCTTGTTTCCAACTCTGTTTACTCATGCTTTTTTTCCTTTTTGTTTACCAGGAAACTTACATAAAATACCTTTTAGATATAATCTATTTTAAACTGATTATTTAATTTTGATCATATGTGAAAACTGCACTTTGAATCTATCCATGCCCACATTTTGTGCTGGGTTTTGTTTTACTTCTTTCATACTAGCGATTGAACCCAGGGAACTTAGCACTTCAACTATAATCCTCAATTGATTGATTGATGGGGACAGGGTGTTACTGTGATTCTCCTGACTCAGCCTACCAGAGTGCTGAGATTGCAGGTGTGTGCCACCATGTTTGGCTCACCTTTTTTAAAGGTCATAAATTGCCATCTACTTAGAGTATTAAGAACTTGAATATGCATTTACTTTTATTAGCTGGTTTTAGTCATCTGTATCTAGTATCGATTTTATACTAACTGCCATCTTGTTTCTGTCAGTAAACTGATGGAGAATTGTGTCTTAACAGAAACAGACAGATAGCTAAAGAAATGCAGGCTGAAGACCTAGATGTGGTAGAAAAATAAATAAATAACCAAAAACAGAAGTTTAACAGTTAAAAAAATTAAAGAAAAATAAATATAGCAGTGAAAATGAAAACATTAACAGCAGAATTAGAGAAGAATGTAAACTCAAAGAGAGATTGTTTTCAGATACAGTCAGAAGAGTGAAAGTGAAAAAAAGCTTACAAGATGTATGAGAGATCATCAAACAAGCAAAATTTGAGTCATGGGGATAACATAGAAGAAAGACAAAGAGTTATAAATATTAAAGAAATAACAGAAAATTCCAAATTTAGGTAAAGATATTATCTATGGGTTTACTATGTATCTGCCTGTCTTAAAAGTATAGGTACTGGGGCTGGAGATTTAGCTCAATGGCATAAGCACCTGCCTTGCAAGCAGGTGGTCATGAGATAGATCCCCGGAACTGAAAAAAAAAAAATTATAGGTACTGATGGCCTTTGTTCCAAACTATGTTTTCAGGATGTGTGAGCAATAAATGGTCCTAGAACACAGCTTTCTCTCCAAAGGACAGACTAGTTTTGATTTGCATCAAGCATAATAAAAATGTCTCTCCCTGGGGCCAAAGTTGGACATGTTTGACTGCAAACCACTGTAAGACTCAGGTTCCCTAAATCTGAAAGTCCTTTCCTGTAAAAGACCAATACATATGCTGGTATCACATGGCCTGTCACATCATCCTGTAGAAACTGGGACAAGAAAATGATATCCTGGCCATAGTTGAGTAATAACTATCATGGGTATTTCTTAAGGGCAATAAAATGTGTCGTCAACTGATCCATGAAAGTGTGACACATTAACTTGTTACCTTGTAAGTAGAATAAAATCTCAGATCCTTTAATATTGATACGTTGCTTCTTATCTACACTTTCTATTTTCAATTTCATCTCAATTCCTTCTAGACTTTGTTAGATCATTTCTTTGAAACTATTCTTATCAAAGTGTCCTCACTCTATATAGGCCTGTATGGAAGGAACAAAAAATATGAGAAGAGGAGGCAACAAGAAAGGGTCCTCAGCCCCCAATCCTGAGAACACTGATCCAGAAAAGGTAATGGCAAAGGAGAATGAGGACAGAAAACATGCAGTATCAGACACAGCACCAACAGACATAAAGCGATATCTCTGGAGCCTCATACACAAGTTCAAAAGTGAAGTATTTAACAAAGTAAAGCAAGATATAAGTAGAACAGCTAGAGAAATGCTAAGCATCGCCCAAGAAAAAACAGATGGTGGAATGGAAGAACAGAAAAAAAGGGGAGAATTGTTTGACGGAGAAAATAGAGAAAACAGAATACATGAAGCACGTTCAAAGAGATTACCAGGAAACTAAAAACTCTATTGAAAGCTGGCATAACAGCTTGAAAGAAACTAAGGATAGACTATCTGAACTGGAGGACATATTTGTAAGGTGGGATCATGAAATGAAAAACTTCTTAAAAATAACAAGGAAACAAACAGCAATAATACAAAAGCTAGAAGATGATAAGAGGATCTATAACTTAAGAATTAAGAACATAAAAGAAGAAGTAGGGACACAAACAGATGAACTACAAAGGCTATTCACAGAAATAATCCAGAAGAATTTCCCTAATTTAGCAAAAGGTAAAGATTCTCAGATGTATGAGGCATACAGGATCCCAACCACCCACAACCCAAACAGAGCTACATCCAGGCATATAATAATCAAAATTCCAGAAATCCAATATAAGAACAGAATATTATAAGCCATCAGAGACAAGAAACAGATCACTTACAAGGGAACTCCCATCAGAATTATAGCAGACTTCTCGGGACAAGCCATCAAATCATGAAGAGTGGGGGGGGGGAATAATTCAAGCTTTGAAAGATAATAACCTCCAGCCAAGATTACTATATCCTGCACAACTGTCCCTAGAAATTGATGGAAAAATAAGGTGCTTCCAGGATAAAGAGAAACTAGGGGAATTTGCAACCACCAATATAACTCTACAGAGATTACTGCAGGACAATCTAAAAAAGAAAAGTACCAAGATTCCAGAAACAGTGGCAGAGAAGCCACAATGAATGGAGCAGAAAGTGAAATGAAGAGGACAAACTGACAACTAATGACAGAAAAAGAGCTCAACAGAAATGAGGCAGAGAAGATTGGATGGTAGGAACAGCTATTTTGGAGAAAACAAGACATCATAATAGCTAGTGCTGATTTAATATCATCTTGTTTTGAAGTCCCATCAACCTTTGTTGTTCTGTCTCCATCGGTCTTAACATGTTGTATCTTGTTGGATTTTATTATATGGGATAGAGATTATACAGAAACCATTGTTCACTTTCTGTTAGTTGATTCTAAATACCCTGTAATACTGTCATTCTCTTGAATGGTTTTACATTGTCTTGATATGTTTGATGCTACAGTATACAAAGCTATACTCAAAGATTTCAAGGAGACACCATGGTAACTACTTTTATGTCAGGATATCTTGTGGTGAAACAATACTTTGCTTAAATGGTTATGTTTTGACCTGTGCTGTTTTCTTGTTATGTCCTCTTTTATCTCAATCTCCTTTTTTATTACTTTTTTATTTTTATCTTTTTAATTAAGGGAAAAATAAATAAAAAATAGCAGGATATATTATAGTAACCCACTTTGATTTCCTATTAACTTGATGTGAAACCCGTATTGCTCTCACCATCTTGCTTTGACTGATTTTCCTCTATTCTGTTTCGCTTGATAGTTCCAAGTTCAAGAATATAGGCAACAACTGTGAAGACAGTAAGATTCATTATGATGCCCATTCTGGTTTGACTATTATCTTCTTTTGAAGTCCTGTAATGTCTCCAATGTTTTGGTTTTATTGGTTTTGTTCTTTACTGTTTTGTTCAATTTTATTATAACTGATGATACAGGCAATTCTACTTAAGATAGCAAGAGGCATTATGGTAACCATTGTTGATCATCTTGTATTTTGTTTTTACATTATGTATTATGTCCATCCTTTTGATTTGACTATGTTTTGTTATGTCACACTTGGTTTTATTCTCTTCAAAAAAAGTAGTAAGAACTGTGGGAGTAATAAAATCCAAAATGTGTAATTGTCATTGTACAAAAGAGAGGAAAAGAAAGTGCTCTAAAGGATATAACTGCGTGTATATTTAAGTGTATAAGATAGACAACCATATTACTGAGTTTTGTTGGATCATTGAACAGAACTGTTTGCAGTCTCACTGTTTGAATGCGCACTTTATATGCTTTAATTTTGTAACTTGAACTATTTCCAAGATGACAATATGTAATCTATTAACTAGTGATTTCCTACTGTTTATTTTTTCTGAAATTCTGTATAACTTGTACTTTTTTTTCCTCCTTAAATTAAAAAAAAAAAAGTGACCTTACTAATGATCACTCTCAGCAAACACCAAAATAGCAAGTAGTATTTAAGATACTGTGATTACCATGTCTAGCTGCAAATACCCTTGGCTTCTGGAACTACCCTCTCCTGGCTGTTCCTTCTCAGTTTGCTTTCCTGGCTCCTCTCAAATCCTCCTAAATATTCTAGTAAACATTTGAAATTCTCTACACCGTGAAACCTTAGATTGTGAGTAGCTTGTTCTGCAAATGTTCTGCAAGATAAGCAAAAATTTCTAATAAATTTTACAACGATGTGATGTCTTGCAATACAAGCAGTGTGACACCAAATGTCACATGATGACAACTGAGCTAATGGTTTTTCTGTCTTTTGCTGCAGGACTGTGGGTGATCATCTCCCAAGAGTAAGAGGTTATGAAGGAGAACTTGTCTGTAGAGGAGGAAAAAAAAGTGGAAGAATCCCTCCCTTCAAATAAGATCAGGGAAATGTTTAAAATGTGACAAACTATAATTTTGGAGAAAAGCTTCACCTGAACAAGGTTGTAGTAGTGTAAGCAATGAATCTGTTTAATGACAATGAAATGTCACATTTTCACAAAATACTCAAAAAGAAGCAAAAGCAAGTGGCACTGGATGGGTTCCTTATTAAAGTTGCACACACACACACACAAAAAAAAGATTCCACTGAGCCGATAATAGAGGTTATCCTACATGATAACACTCCTCTCATCTCCCTCACATCAGCCAAAGGAAAGTGCAAGTTAATTTATTATTCTTTATATTTTGTATTATATTATAGTATTGTAATCAGTTTTATATAAATGAATTTGCAGTGTAGATCAAATCATCTGAGTTTCCAATAATTTTATGAGGAAATTTGCTTTGACATACAGGTGCTTTGGATTGTAAGCATGTTTCTGGAACAAACTGTCCTCACAAACCAAGGTTTTACTGTACAGTTTTCTAGGTAATTTCATCAAGTTTCATGGCTTACAGTACTATCTGTGCAAGATACCAAAATTATATTTTGAAATTGGGTTTTGTGGAACCACCCAACCCTAAATGTATAAGGAATACAAGAGCAATAGCAGGCATGCTGCAGATGACTGTTAGGGAAACCCTCGTTACAGCTGAACACAAGGTTGAGAAACTGTGATGATCCGCTCACTGCTGCATGCCCTCCAGATCTACTCCACATCCTTGTTGTCCTTTTATCCCAGGAGCATTACATTGTCTCCACTTATGGTGGGGTCCAACCAACAGAAGCGCCTGCAGGAGACTGGTAGCAGCAGAAAGTTGAGGTTTTTCATCTCTCCTGCCTCCCTGTTGCAGGTGTTTCTCCCACACAAGCTGTGCTTCTCAAGAGCTTCACCATCACTCAGCAAATCCCCTTCCAAGATTTTGGCTCGCTGGGGGTTCCTGAAACACTGCTTCCTCCCTCTGTTCCCAGAGAAACAACAGGTTCTTGATGCTGCTTGTCTCTGGATGCCTCACCATCCTTTGTTCCCTTGACCATTTCCTCATCTTTTCTTTCACAAGGATTCTGTTAGTTCAGCTTCCTGCTGGAACCTTCACTTGAGCAGCTGAGAAGTTAGTTTCAAAGGGTACAATGGGAGGAATTTTATTCTCTGGGCCCATAAAATCAAACACACACACAAAGGTTCTTGAGCTTTATTTTGTAAAAATCGGTATATTCGCTCTCTTTCATTAGACCTGGAAGAGCTTGTGCCTACACGTTCCTTTCTATGGAAAACCATTCCTTACTGATGGTCTTTTTTTTTTGCCTTTTTTGGTCCTTGCCAAAAAAATACATAGATAATCAAAAAATCTCAAGTCCTGGCACTTTATGTTTTTCTTAGAAATACATTCCCAGGAGTTAGGGGCTGGGGATTTAGCTCAGTGGCATAAGCACCTGTCTAGTAAGCACAAGGTCATGAGTTTGATCCCCAGTGCCGCTAAAAAAAAAAAAAAAAAAAAAAAAAAAAAAAAAAAAGATTTAAAACATTCCCAGGAGTTAATATTCCTGGGCTAAAGAGTATATATATTTTCAATGTTAAAAGACAGACTAACAATGTTTTCCAAGAAGGCTGTTACAATTTACATTTCTAACAGCAGTGCTGAAAGTAACTCTTTCCCCTTGTTTCCTTGTCATTAGTAGGTAATATTCTAACTTAGAAAGGTAGGATTTGCTGGGCTATGGATGTCCTGGTATAGTTTTCCAGAAAGTCATTCACAATCATATTGAGTCACAATACCTCAGAGATCTTCAAAAATGATAAAAACCAGTTCTGCTTTCCATTTATAATTCCACTGCATGATGTATGATTAAGAGGGAGAGGTTGAACTTGTGCACTTGAAATAAAGCTAAAATGGCAAACTACGATTATGCAAAAAACGTAACTATAATGTCAATTATCACAGCATATGGAGAAACCACTGAAAAGTCTAACTTACAAAGTGTGAACTCTAAAAAGAAACGTAATCAATTTATGCTAAGTCAGATCACAAAAGGATAGTTTTAGATTGATGAAAATGAGATTCAAGGAAATAAAGATCCTTTCTTTAAACAAACTACTAGAAAAATTCATCTCTAAAATGGGTTATACACATAGAAACTTTAAAAAGCAAAACAGAGAATTCTTTATACTTTTCTTAAAATAAATTTTTCCTCCAAGGTCTTTGAAATGTAACTAGAATTTTCAAGGTACATAGCATCATATGACTTTTTGTAAGACAATTCATGAAGTATTAAGAGAACCAGGGAAACACAAAAATACAAGTGACTTCTGAGCTACACAATCTTTTGGAAATACATATGCATTTGTATGTCAATATCCCATGGGAAAATAAGAGCATAATGGTTGATATTCTCTGTGCATGGCCTATTTTTATTCTGTAGTACACACTGAGTAATACAGTCACATCTGCTTCTCTTCACTGATCTCTTAGCTATCTAACACTTCTATATTTATATAAATATTTCTAGAAAATCTTCAACCAAGAATCAATTCAAGATTCCAACAATACTGTCTTTTCTTTAGCAAAGAGGCTCAGTGACAATGGCCACATTAATTTATGTATGTCAGCAAGCAGTAAGAGAAAAAATCAGCACCATACTACTTTAAAATGCAACATATTTCATTTGGAACCCATACTGGGTTGGAAAGGTACTGAAACAAACATGATGTTTACCATAGTATGAAAAAATCTTGTTTGATATCCTAATTAGCACCAAAGACAAGAATTTCAAACTCCCAATAACTGTTAAATTCACATATGCAGATTAAAAACAGAATTTGTGCTTTGTGGCATACTTTCATACATAAATTCCATAGGGTATTGTCAATATAGGCTTTATGCTGTTGCCCAGAATATTCAGTTCTTTCAAGATTTTAAAAAGCTCATTGTGCGCTGGTGTTGTGGCTCAATGGAAGAGCACTTGCCCAACATCGGCAAGAGATCAGGTTCAATCCCTAGTGCTACAAAAACCAAACAAAGCTCACTGTAATATAGCTGGGTATGTCTATTTACAACTGAATATATTCCAAGGTGTATACTTCAGCTGTATATCATACCTATCTTCCAGTAAAATGTTCTATATGCAATGCTATTTTTTAACACACATTTCTGACTTGAGAGAGATTCTATCTTGGCATGAATTTCAATGCTTATTTTTCCTTCACTGGAGAGATTCTGAGTTTTTACAACACCACCTCATAGCAGTCTCAAGGTCTATCCCCCATATGAACTCTCTGATGGACACTGAGTCGGGACTTCCTGCTGAAGGCCTTGCCACATTCAGTACACTCATACGGTTTCTCTCCAGTATGGATTCTCAAATGTAATCTAAGTGTTGACCTCTGGCTGAAAGTTTTGCCGCATTCAGTACATTCATAGGGTTTCTCTCCTGTGTGAGTTCTCATATGTATGATGAGTTGTGAGTTCTGGATAAAAGATTTCCCACATTCACTACACTCATAGCGTTTCTCCCCTGTGTGAATTTTCTGATGTATAATGAGGTTTGACTTCTTAAAGAAGGTTTTTGCACATACATTACATTCATAGGGTCGCTCTCCAGTATGAATTCTCTGGTGTGTAGTGAGTTCAAACTTCTGAGCAAATGTCTTTCCACAGTCACTGCACTCATAGGGTTTCTTCTCCATATGTGCTCTCTGGTGTACAATAAGGTTTGACTGGTGGGTGAAAGCTTTTCCACACTCAGGACATTCAAAGGGTTTTTCCCCAGTGTGAATTCTCTGATGTTTGATGAGGTTTGCCTTATGGGAGAAAGTTTTCTTACATACATTACACTCGTAGGGTTTTTCTCCAGTGTGTATTCTCTTATGACTAATGAGGAGCGACTTAAAGGGGAAGGCCTTGTCACAGTAATTACAAATAAAAGGTTGAACCAAGTTCTTTATTTTCTGATGTTTAAAAATGACTTCTTTATGGACAAGGGCTTTCCCACTTTTATTATATTCAGAGTAAACTGCTCCAGAAGTATTCTGCTCTTGCTTCAGATACAGGAGTGGTTTTCCAAATCCAGTATATTCATCACCTTTCTTTCTTGCATAGCTTTTGTTAAGTAAGTCTGAATTATATTTCAGAGTTTTTTCATACAAATCATATTTATAGGGCATTTGTCTTAAAGAAACAAAGTTTGTGTTCAGCGTAAATGTTCTTCCAAAGAGATTACCTCCTTCCTCAAGTGCAGTTTGGTTCTTAAGGATCATAAACTGCCTTGCCTGCTCATCTGGATTTTCATGCTCCCTTTCCATTTGGTCATCAGCCTTCCACACTTCTAGGATAGAAACGTATGAGATGCATGTTGTTAATCCTTTTTCTAAAACGAGACAATGGAAAGCCTCCACAAATAGTCTATACTTAAACTAACTCTTCAGTTTTGAAGCAAGTCACTCAGTATTAAAAAATATCAGGAGGAAAATTTCCAATTTTTTGAACTTTGAAAGAAAAAGACAAAAATGCAAACTTGTGGCAAAAAATACAAACTGACACAAGTAGCCAGATAACAAAATGACCTGAAAGTGGAGAGAAAAAAGTGAAAAAAAAAAAAAAAAAAAAAAGAACACAAATGAGATAAGAAGGTAACAATTCCAGGGATGAAGGAGATTCAGTGTCTTAAAACACACTGAGCTGCTACTCAGAGAACAAGAAAGGAGGCAAAGACATTAAGTGGAAACACCCAGGCCAGTGATAGCAAACCTTTTAGAACCTAGGTTTGCCACAACTGAGCTAGGCAGAGCAGGTTAGTAACTGACACTTTTGACTCTAGATTACAGCATTAGTCTACCTGCTTCTCTCATACAAAACAAAGCAACTTCTTAATCAGTATTCCTCATAGGTCTGCAGGAACAATTTAAATTCTCATTTGTAAATGGATGGCAAGATCCAGAAACAAATATTGCATCAGAAATGTAAAATAAATTTAAACCTTACAATAAAAGCACTCACTGATGCTAGGTTTAGTGGTTTTTTTCTATTGCAGTTGTTAGTGACTGTTTTTATTTATTTATACACATACACATAAAAAATACATTAATCTTTTTAAAATTTTGCTTTATAGGAGATTGAACCCAAGGGACACTGAACTACGTTCTCTGACTCTTTCTAAATTTTATTTTAAGACAAGATCTTGCTGAGTTCCCAGAGGTTGGCTTCAAACCCATGATTCTTCTGCTTCAAGATCTGGAGCAGACAGGGTTACAGGTGTACACCACTGAGCCCAACTCCTCATCATATTCTGTTTTTCCTCCTTTATTATGTCCCTGCTTTTATCTGAAGAGATCTTAAGGATCAAATTACCCAGCATTTACTTTCATCTTACATATTACTTGTTATTCCCAATTTTTATGATTCTGCTGCCATTTCACTTGGGATAGTGATTCTACTGCAGTACCAAAAAACTGCATCTTCCTCAAGGTCACTACACCAATGTCCCAAAAGCTGCAATATGAAAGTTAGCATTCTGGCAAAGTGAGAATACATAATTAACAGCAACTAATAACAACACCAAGGTTTAAGATGTTAGGTGAGCATCTTCAAATGGAAAAATCAAGCAAGGAAAGCTGAATATTTGGAGGTGTAGCTAAGATAAGAGGTACATATCACTTGCCCTCAGCCACCTCTAAATCTTTTAGGACTTGAAAAATAGGCTTCATGAAAAGTATTCAAATGTACTGACTGCTCAGAATCACTGCGTTACTTTCACTGGTTCCGATGCCATTTTCCTTCTTTCATATCTTCCCTCAGAATTTCTGAATTGACAATTGTAAGTCTACCACTCATGATTCCTTTTGGTAACTCCTAACTGCTTGGAATTCAGGGACCTTGAAAATCAGGAAGGTAGATCTTCAGAAGCTGTACGTGGCACCAACACTTCAAGATGGAGGCCAACATTGTTTAATAATACAGAAGCTCATAATTTTTGGTAACCAAGAAAGGACATCTGATACTAAGCAAACAGTGAAGTAACCCCAAAAGCTGTTCTTACCCACTGAAAGTAAGTTGCTATAATTTTCCAGCATCACATCCATGTATAAAATCCTCTGAGTAGGGTCCAGCTGCTCCCACTCTTCCTGGGTGAAGTCCACAGTCACATCCGTGAAAGAAACTGACACCTGAAATGGTACATGCTTGATCATTCTGAAATAATCAGCTTTTGGTGATGTATAAAGAATATAAGAGAGCTTAAATACATTCTGTATATACACTGTAAGTCACTCACCATGAATATTTACTTATAATACCAATTTTTCATTTTGTTTGCTTTGTTTTGGTGTATCTCCAAATACTTTTAAAAAGTTAAGACATTCATTCAGATTCCCATCTCTGGTACTTTCACTTTGATCAGTATCTAAAATAAATAAAACACTGTGCTCCCTAGGCATGTACAGGTATACAACTACATAAATATTCAGCATTTGATGTTATTATTGTAGTGCAATGATGAAGCTCACCTAAGTAATTTCTGTGATAGCAAAAATATTCAATAAGTTTAGAATATTTCAAGCCAGAAGATATATTTTCCATTATAAAACAAATTATTGCACACAAGTGAGGCTCTCTTTAGCCCTTCCAAGCCACAGAAACAGTAGAAAAGATGATCAGCTAACTGGAAAACATGTCAGTAAAAAAAAATCCAAATACAGAAATAACAATTGAAGGTAAATACATCAAAGAGCCTAAAAGACACAAGGAACCAGTTAAAAGCCCTAATACAGAGGTAAATGCATGAAAACAATATTTAAACAGGTAATGGCTGAGAAATTTCCAAAATAGCTCACATCAGGCCATAGTTTCAAGAAACACCACTAATCTCAAATAGAATTTTTTTAAAAATCCATACTTAGGTACATCACAATAAAACTAAAATCCCAGAGGTAGAAGTATTACCTTCAAAAGCATAGTAATAAAAGAGCTTATTAAAAAATGGAATCCAGGAACCAGCCATGGTGGGATTCAGGCAGCTTATTCACCCGCCCTCTTGGTAAGTGCCCCTGGTATGGGCCAGGAGGAAAACCAGTGCTTCCCGAGATCTGGCCACGGTGGAACTTAGGCAAGTTATTTGTTTGCCCTCTTGGTAAGCACCCCTGGTGCTAGCCAGGAGGAGAACCAGAGCACCCAAGATCCAGTCATGATGGAACTTAGGCAGCGTATTCATCTGCCCTCTTGATAAGCGCCCCTGGTGCAGGCCAGAAGAAGAACCAGCAGCTCCTATGAGTCTACCAGAGTGGACTGAGACTCAAACACAGACACAGACACACACACACACACACAGACACACACACACACACATACACACACACACATACACACCCCGTTGCAACTGGGGATACATGTCTCGGTATATCTTGGGAGGATGACCATATGCAATATAGCAAATATGGGGGATTTCTTTCTATCTTCCATTTGAAGGAAAAGGTTATTTTCACTGTTCTGTTATGTTTGTTTCACTCTATTCAGTACTCTCTATTAATTGGTTTTATAATGTTCTGTTTTGGTTTGATTTCACTATACCTAATTGACTGGACAACTATTGTGAAGATAACAAGATATACTATAGTACCTAATACTACTATCCCAGTATCCTATTGTAAAGTTCTGTACCAATTTCACTGCATTGTCTCAACTGGCTTTGTTCTGTCTTGTTCTGGTGTATTTTTACTACCTTCAAAATTAAAAAAAAAAAAAAAAATGGAAGTCAGAAAGTAATGAAACATCTCTGAAATGCTGAAAATATTTAAAGTTGGCAAACTGTCTATAAAGGACCTGAAAGTCAGTATATTAGTTTGCAGGCTGTGTGTAGTCTCTGCTAGAACTAATCACTCTGCCACCCTACCATGAAAGCAGACATGAATAACTTGTAAATAAATGGCACAAGTGTATCCCAACAAAGCTTCATTTATAGACACTGATATTTGAATTTCATATAATTTTTAAAGCATACAAAGATTCTTGATCTTGTTTCCCATTTAAAACTAAAAATCAATCTTCCCCTGTGAATTATACAAAAACAAGGCAGCAGGCCATTTGGACAATGGGCCAGAGTTTGACAACTCTTGCTCTAGAATGATGACTGGTACACAATGTCAGGTATATTATTACTAGAGATAAAAGCATACTCCAAAAGAAAATTAAACCTAGCAAGAATCAGTTGGATACAAAAATATTAAATAAACCAGTGAAGTATATTATATAATAAGCTGTAACTAATACTTGGGTGCCAACAACTTGGGAATGTGGCAGGCAAGAAGTATGTTCTGGAGGAAAATAAATCCTGATTAAACTTTAAGATATACATTCAAATGAGCACAAAAAATACAAAAAACATTTAAAAGACATTTCTGGCAGACAGGGAAAGTGGATCAAGAAAATCAGTAGTCACAGCCAAGTGTGGTAGCATACACCCATGAACTCTGCACTCTGGGAGGCTGTGGCAGGAGGACGCCAAGAGTAAGTCCAGTACGGCCCTGTTTCAAAAAAAAAAAAAGCTAGGAGGGGGTGGAGGATGTAGCATAGTGCAAAGGCCCTGGGTATGGGGGATGGGAATATGAATGTTTACTAAAAAACTAAGGCTTTCAGAGGTGTTTTTTTTAAACATGTTTTTATAAGAGTTAAGTTTGACATTAAAGCCTGAAAATAAAAGTTCAACAAAATTCCAAAAACTGCATTATTTGACCTCAAAACTTTACAAAATTCTATTGATACACACAAAAATACTCTTAAAAACTGGAATGGTGTTATGGTTTATATCTGTATGTTTCCCTAAAGCTTCATGTGATCACACGCAAGGCTTTTCAAAGGAGATAAGATTATAGGGCTTACAGCTGACCATAAGCTGAAATCTCTACAAACTGAGAATCAAAATAAACCTTTCTTTCTTTCACTTGTGTCGGATATTGTGTCCCAATAACAAGGACAAAATACATCAAACCACCACATGCAGACAATGCACAGCAACCACTGCAGGGCTGGAACCACTGAGAGGGGTATTATATCAACAGAACCCACACTCACAGTGATGCTATAATCATGGAGGGTGCAAAAATATTCTTTAAAGGCAATTTTCAAAATCATGACATGGAGCCAGGCTCACGCCTGTAATCCCAGCACTCAGGAGGCTGAGGTGGGAGGATCGTTGCGAGTTTGAGACCAGCCTGGGCTACCAAGTGAGCTCAAGGCCAGCCTGAATGGCATAGGGAGACCCCGTCTCAAAAAAGACCAAAAGAAATCTTGACATGGAAAATAGAGCACAAGCAGAAATGAGTATCGCTATATGGAAAAAAGCAACTAAGATTTGGGCGCAATGTGCTATAGCCTGAATATTTTTGTCCCACATAGAAATTTATGTTTATCTTAGCACTTAAGAGGCTGAGGTAGGATTTCAAGCTCAAGGCCGGCTGCGGCCCCTCCAGGGGGAGAACCACCAGGTCTCCTGAGATCCACGCCACGTTGGAACTTAGGACCCTGGGAAAACAAGCAAGCAGCTTGCCTCCCTGGTAAATGGCTGTGGTCTGGCAGGCTGTGGCCACCCCTGGGGAAGAAGCACCAGCGTCTCCTGATATCCACCCCATGTTGGATCTTAGGACCCCGGGAAACCAAGCAAGCAGCTCCCCTCCCTGGTAAGCGGCTGTGGTGTGGCAGACTGCGGCCCCTCCAGGGAGAGAACCACCAGCATCTCCTGAGATCCGTGCCATGTTTGATCTTAGGACGCTGGGAAACCAAGCAACCAGCCTGCCTCCCTGCTAAGCAACAGTAAGCCTACTGATGCATGGGCTGAGAGTCAAACATCCCACTTCTCCTACCCCCCTTCCCCTACCCCCTGTTAGCAAATGGGAACCAAAGATTTGAGCATCTCTTGGGAGGTTGACCATAGCAAATAAGGGGGATTTCCTTCTACCATCTTTTTGAAGGCAAATATTTTTATTACTGTTTTGTTTTATTCTGATTAACAGTACTGCTCTATTGAATACTCTGTTTTGATAAGTTCTATAATGTTCTGTATTTCATTTTATTTTGATATACGTGATTGAAAGAACAACTATTGTGAAGATAACAAGATATAGTGTGATACCTATTACTGTTATTCTGGTAACCTACTGTGAATTTCTGTACCAATTTCACTACACAGTCTCAGTTGGCTTTATTCTGTCTTGTTCTGTTGTATTTTACTACCTTCAAAAAAAAAAATGTTCAAGGCCAACCTGCTTGCTCTCGCTGTCTCTCTCTCTCCCTCTGTCTCTCTCTCACACACACACACACACACACACACACACACACACACACACACAGATTCATCTTGAGTGCTAGGGATACAGCTCAGCAGTAGAATACTTGCCTAGCATGCACAAGAGCCTGGGAGGTTCAATCCCTAGCACTGTTAGAAAAAATAATTTATGTTGAAACTCAATCACTAATGTAACAGCAATAGTATATATAAACTCTGACATGCAATTGGGTCATGAGGGCTCCCCTCCTCAAAAAAGAAAAAACAGGATTAGGTGCTCTTATCTATCTATCTATCTATCTATCTATCTATTTACTTATGGCCTTGTGAGCCAAACTGACCTTGAGCTTACTACATAGTCCAGGCCGGACTCAAACTCATGATCCTTCTGCTTCTGCCTCTTGAGTGATAGGATTACAGGTATGTGCCATCATGCCTAGCAGGATTAGGTACTCCTATCAAAAGGCTTGACAGAGTGAGCTTATCTCCTTTTTCCCCCTCCCCGTGCCACAAAAGGGAATAGGATTTAAATCCCCATACACACACACACACACACACACACACACACACACACACACACATATGAATTGAGCACTGAACCCAGAGCCTTCATACTGAGCTACATCCTCAACGCTTTAAAAAAAATTTTTTGATGCAAATTTCCCTAGACTGTTAGGTTCCCCAGGATGGGCTAAATTTGAGGTTTGCCTACCTCAGCCTCCTTGAGTACACCAGAACAGCCAGATTTAGACTACTCTTCCAGAAGCAGAGACTGGGCCTTCATCAGACACTAAACTTGCCAACACTTTGAGCAAACTCATCCTCCAAAACTGAATAGATCAGTTTTCTTATGAAATCTCAGGTATTCTATTAAGACTAAAATACAGGGTAAAGGGCCTAAGGACACTACAGAGAAGGGACTCAAAATTCCACATAAAAGTTTACCACAGATCTTTGGCTGGTATCTAGTATGGGCTGTTGAGGGCAAACTTCCAGGAAAAGTAGGAGACAGTAGCAACTGAAAGACTAGGAGCTGAGTCAAGATTTCGGAGATTATATAGTGCTGGGGAGATGCTGCAGTTTAGACCAAACAAGAACAGACATACCAGCAAATAACTGAGGTGCCAGTGAGTAAGGACTATGCCCTGAGAGGACTGTGACCTAACTGAAAGAGGCCTTCCTTCACAGTCATATGTGGCTCAGTGGATCACGATGGTTTGCCAATTGTTTATCTGGCAGAACAAAACATTTTCTAGAGAGAGCTATATATCATAGGACATGTCAAATACATGGGAAAATGCAAAAATCAATGGAAAGACAAAAACAAGATGAAAATGCTAAAAGCAGCAGATGCAAGGATAACCCAAAGAGCAGAGTTGACACACAAAGACTTCTAATGACCTGTAATGTGTAAAAGAATATAGAAGTGGGAGCTGGGGATTTAGCTCAGCGGTTATCATAAGTGCCTGCTTTGTAAGCAGGCAGTCGTGAGTTCGATCCCTGGTACCGATAAAAAAAAAAAAAAAAAAAAGAATGTAGAAGTGGTTTGTAAAGTATATAAACTGTAATATCTGAGTAACCACTAAAGAAAAATAATAAACAGCAGCCAGGTACAGAGATGTACACCTGTACTCCCAACTCTCAAGAGGCTGAGGCAGGATTTCTGGACCCTAGGAGTTCAAAGCCAGCCCAGGCAATACAGTAAGACCCTCTTTTTATTTTTTTTTTTCTTTTTTTATCGGTATCAGGGATCGAACTCAGGACTGCCTGCTTGCAAGGCAGGCACTTATGCCACTGAGCTAAATCCCCAGCCCCCAAAGACCCTCTTTTTAGAAAAAAGACAAAATCCTAATATAGATTTAAGTTACAAAAGGCAGCTAGATGACAAGTTTGAATTCAACTGTGCCTATAATGAAATTAATCATAAACAAAATAATTAATGGATTAAAAGACAGATGATCAATGTTATGGTTTTTATCTAGACATCCCCCCAAAACCTCATGGATTCATAGGCGGAGCTTTTAGAAGGTCACTGGATATGGTAGTGTGGATCATGGGTAGATTAAATGTGATGATGGGAGAAGCCTGGTTGAAGGAGGAGCGTCACCGCAGTCATGGTATTCAGTGGTATCTTGGTTCACAAACTTAATCTGTCCTATAATTTTGGAAAAGCTGTCTGTGCTGTGTTTGTATAGGAAAGATGGCCATGGTCATGTTTGTCACCTGACACAAAGTTTGCAAACAAAATCAAAATTTTGCCAAATGCTTCTGTCTGCATACTAAATTGTTTGCAAACAAAAGCATTCATGAGCCGAGGTATCACTCTATCGCCACCTCATCTTTATCTCTCTCTGCTTCCTATTTGCCATGCAATGCACTTGTCACTCCTCTTATGCTGCCCTGTTTTGGAGCCAGCTGACTATAGACTGAAACTTACAAAACTGTGAAGCAAAATTAACCTTTCCTCCTTTAATGTGTTAGTGTGAGGTATTATGTCCCAGTGTTGAAGAAAGTAAGACAGGTCAGGAAAAAAAAAACTACAACCTAACTACATACTATTTAGAGGAAATATATTTTTGGTTTTTGTTTTGATTTGTTCTGTTTGCTACTGGAGATGGAATTCATGACCTCACGCTTGCCAGGTAGGCACTTATGCTGCTGAGCTAAATCCTTAGCCCCAGGAAGTATATTATTAATGTAATGATGTAAGAGGAATAGGAAAAGGTAAGAATACTGATCAGAGCTGGGTGTAGTGGTACATGCCTGTAATTCCAGCACTCAGGAAGCTAAGGCAGGAAGATTGCTGTGAGTCTGAGGCCAGCTTGGGCTACAAAATGAATTCAAGATAGCCTGAACTGCACAATAAGACCCTATTTCAAAAAACCAAGACAAAACTGATCATTAAAAAAGCATTTAGTTTTATTTACATTAGACAAGGAGTATGACCAGAGATAGCCATTATAAAATGATAAAAGGATAAATCAGCCAGAATTTAGAATAATCATAAATGTGCATGTAACCAATAAGCATATCAGGTGAGATTGAAATATACACTAAATATTTAAAATCTTAAAAACTTATGACAGTAAAAGACACATTACCATTAATCCCCCTCAAAATATTTCCCCTTACTTCAAACACACATTCCATCATTCTTGCCACTTTCTGAAGCAGTTCTGGAAGTCTTTTTTAATGTCTTTACAAGGTGTGATAAAAAAAGAAAAACCACAGTGAATGCTGATACTGAGTATCATCCAACGAAAAGGCAGGCTTATAAAAATATAATGGTATGTCCTCATCTAACTTATTCACTGCATCTGGCATCAAGAGACTTCTGACCTTCCCCAAGTCAAAACGACCATGAAAAGTAAACATTTTTTAATCAATTCAGGACATCAAAGCAGCTGTAACAGTGCAAATAAAGACATTCATGAAAGAGGTCTTTCAGAACTTTCTCAGAAAGAGTCAAGAATGATGGGATAAGTATATTCAAAGCAAAATGGAGTATTTTGAGGGAGATTAATGGAAATACATCTTTTACTGTAATAAATTTTAAAACAACTTAGGCTTTCACCGTATCTTTTGATCATACTGCATATATACAATTAGTAACACAGCAGCAAATTGCATTAAGTCGAAACTGACAGCACTAAAGCAAGGAAAGGACAAACCTACATTTATTTACAAGTAGTATTCAATCAATAATCAGAAAACACGACATTTTCAGGAATGCAAAGTTTTAAAAAGATACCTCTCACACATCCTTTTTCTCAAGAAGCTACTACAGAATGTACTCCAATAAAATAATAGTAATCAAAAAATGATAAGGCACATGAAGGGGCAAACAAAAGATCAACACAAGAGAGCTAAAGGAAATTGCTAGGAAGAGTCTCAAAATTATGCAAAATGGCAGGGATTCTCTAATAACAGCAAACTGTCTCTAGTATAGACTGAAACAGTAAATTCAAAAGCATGCATTTTGAGGGCTGTCATTAACAAGATATCTTTTGCCACTGTGCCATTAACTTATTAACCTGAGGGTAGATGGCTTCAGTTAGCTTAGCCCAGATTCTTATCCATATTTGGTTTGATTGGTCTTGAACATGTGCTGATGACATGTGTTTCTCTCCTACCCAGGCTGGCTTGCATCAGATGAGGACATTCACATCACAGAAGTATCCTACTTTAATCTGCTCTTGAGAGTTGGGAATTGAACAGTGAGTCAAGAGCAGAAAAGGCAGAACACCCCACTCCTTCCAATGATATTCCTATCAGATATTCAATACTTCTCATACTTCGACCCTGCCAGAGGACCAATTGTGGTTTAGCCTTATCGTTATGCGTCTCATGATCCTGCCAATGACTTCTCCAAATAAAGACTTTTAGACATTCTCAGGAAAGCTGAAACTAGACGATGCCCTGTTACTTGGCTCGTTTTCTCCTGAGATTTTGTTCAGTAGTAGCAAAATCACTAAACTCATCTGCTTAGAAAATGTTGCCTGCAGTAAAGTTCTATCATTTTATACTATTACTAGAAATGTATACTGTCTTAGTTACTTTTCTCCCATTATTGAAACAAAGTGAAGCAAGGGAAGGTCTATTTCTTACTTTTGGGGGTTTCAGTTCATACTCAGCTGGCTCCAAGACCAGATGGCATCACATTCATGGCCACTACAAACAGCAAGAACAAACAAAGTAAAAGAGGAAAGACATACCTTCTTCCCACCCTTACACTGTATGTCAGCTCCACCCCTGGGTGGGTGCAGCACTCACGTCACCAATCCTGGCACTAGACAACAAACCAATCACAAACACTAGATTCAGCCCTGTCCATGACTGCACGAGGTTTGGGGGTCTCTCCAAACACAACCCATAACATATACTTTCTCCTCTTAAGTTAATAGCTAATACAATTCAAAAAAATGATGTAAAAATCTCTTAAGCCTTAATAAAGAGCACATGGGTGCTGTGTAACTTTCTTGTCATTGGAACATAATACCTAACACAACTTAAAAGGAGGAAAGGTTTGTTTTGGCTCAGTTTCTAGCGATTTCAGCCCATAGTCAGCTAGCTCAAAAGCAGGGCAATACAGCAGAAGGGCATGGGAGAGAAACAATCCATAATATGGGATGCAAATAGACAAGAGCCATCAAAGAGGAAAGAGGGGACAGGCGTGGTGGCACATGCCTGTAATCCCAGCACTCAGTAGGCTGAGGAAAGAGGATAGTTGCAAATTTGAGACCAGTCTAGGCTACCAAGTGAACTCAAGGCCGGCCTAAACTGCACAGCAAGACCCTGTCTCAAACACACACACACACACACACACACACACACACACACACAAAAGAGATCCTGCCATGCCACATTCCCCATGATCCACTTCCTTCAACCAGACTTCATTTCCCAACATCACATTTAACTATAAACTCCTAAACACAATTAGTTTCACATCCCCATGACCCAATCACCTCCCACAAGTCCACCTGTGAGTGTATGAAGCATGGGGCGGGGGGTGCGATCTAGGTATTATCTATAACAGGTGCATAAACGGATATAATTTAGACATTATATACCTACCAAAAAACCAATCAAAGATTATACACATTAAGGTAATATTGACTCATTTTTTTTTCAAAACTGGGTTTATAATGATTAGGGATACATGTATAAATGGTAAAGTCAAGAAAAACAAAGACATTAGTATTTTTTTTTTAAATACATAATCTCACAAAGTTTCCCATGCAGGCCTCAAATTTCTTATTGCTCTGCTTCAGGCTCCCAAGTACCTGAAATTACAGGCATGTGCCACTGTGCCCAGCTAATGTTCTACTTCTTAACGTGAGTGTGTCTGACACCCACTTTACTCTTCTTTAATGTGTGTGGGTGTGTAAATATATACACACTGTTATATATATTTTATACATTGCTATGAAGATGTTCTATGTTATACAATTAAAAAAGAAAAAAGGACAAGGAAACTATGCTTTGATATGCAAACATTTCAAAAAATATAAGGCAATGAAAAACAGAAGAGAATAAAAGACAAACCACAGACTGGGAGGAAATCTTTGAAGAACACATAGCTGATAAAGGACCAAATCTAAAATAACTCTTAAAACTCAAAATATGAAACAATCTGATTTAAAAATACACAAAAGATCTGAATGGAGAAGAGAATCAAGAAACCAAACCATACCTTCCCATGAGCCAGCCAGGGTGCTGACTGGAAGACAAAAAGAGCAATCCCCATCCTTCCCAGTAAGCAATGGGCAGAGTAAGAGGAAATTTGGCTGAGATGATAACAACTGAAGTAAAAATAATAATAATAATAACAGAATGCGTGTATTGTTCAATTGACTTTGCAGGCCAAAAGCTGGTAGTCTGAGCGTCTATTTGGAGGATAACAACATGCATTATAGCAACTGTGGGGGATTTCCTTCTGTCTTATTTTGAAATCCAGTGTTTTGTTCTGTTTTACTGTTTTGTTTTATCCCTGTAACTGGTAACCTGAACAACTATTTTGAAGACAACAATATGCAATATAACAACCATTGTTAAATTCCTATCATCTTGTTTTAAAAGCCTACATTTTTCTTTGCTGCTGTTGTTTTTATTGTTTTTTGTTCATTTGTTTCTTGATTTTTCTTTTTTTTTTTAAATAAAAAAATTTGAGTGGACATTTCATCAAAGAAGATAAACAGGTGGCAAATAAACATATGAAAAGATGCTCAACATTATATTTTATTAGAGAATTGTAAAGTAAAACAGGATATGACTACACATCTGTTAACAACGGCTAAATCCAGAGCAATGACAACTCCAAACAGTGGTAAGGACGCATAAGAACAGGCAAGATCATTCATTATTGGTTGGAATACACAATGGTACAACCACTTGGAAGATAGTTTGGCAATTTCTAACAAAAGTAATTATATTCTTACCATATGATCCAGCAATCATGGTCCCTGGTATTTGCCCAAATGAGATGTAAACATGTTCACCCAAAAACCTGCACATAATTGCCAAAATTTGTAAGCAACCATGATCTCCTTCAATAAGTGAATGAACACATATACTGTGTTTTAGCCACACAATACAATATTTAGAATTCTATTTGGCAGTAAAGAGAAATGTACTATCAAGCTAGGAAGATACAGAGGAATCTTAAATGTGCATTTTTAAGCAAAGGAAACCAATTCAAAAAGCCTACTTACTTTATTAATCCAACTATTTTGATATTCTGGAAAAGGCTAAACTAAGGAGGTAAGACAATAACAAGATCTGCAGGTGCCAGTGGCTCAGGAAGAATAGGGATAAACAGATGCATCATGGGGGAATGTGGAGGCTTTAAAGCTGTTCTGTGTGATACTATAATGGTGGATACACATTATACACTCACTAAAACCCATAGAATATACAACACAAAGAATAAACTCTAAAAATATGGACTATTAATTTACTATAGTACGGAGGATTGAAGGCAGGGACTTCACACTGACCTGGTTATTAAGCCCATGTTTTATTTAGAGACAAGGTCTCCCAAAACTGCTCAGGCTGGGCTTGAATTTGCAATCCACTTGACTCAACCTCCCAGAGTGCTGAGATTATAAGCATATGCAACAATGTGAGGCTTAAATTATAGGTTTGAACTAAAGTTTATCAACTATAATAAATGTAGTACATTAATGCAAGGTGTTAATAACAGGACAAAGAGGAATGATAGGGAGGAACTATGAGGGGGTATATGGGAACTATCAGCATTTTCCACTCAACTTTTCTGTAAACTCAAAACTGCTCTAAAAAGTGAAGTATATTAATTAAAAACAAAATAGGAAAAAAAGACTTAGAATAGTCTGATTCACATACTATCTTGTATTTTTATACTTCTGTAAATCTTTATAAATAAATCTGGAAAGCTATTTTTTTAAAAGGTAATGACAATGGCGGCTGTGGGAAATTTAAATACACATCCACATATTTAATGAGTTCTCTGGCACCATGCTAATCTGACTGGAAAAACCAAATACAATACCCTATTTCAAGAATGCAGTATGAAACAATGTTAGACAAAATGATAAACTTTAATTTTGATTGTTTCTGGAGGTGCTATTCAAAAACATTACCTGTATGAAAGTCTATAAAAATAATTCAGACCTAATGTAGAGACCTAAGGTCTCCACATTAACGTTTAGAATCAACAAAGAAAATTAGTTTGTGTTATGGCTTTTATCTAGATGTTCCTCCAAAGCCTCATGAATTCACAGGTGGGGTTTTTTGGAGCTGGTTGGATCTTGGGTGTGTGATACTGGGATAAAGGGTGTGTAGTCCTAAATTAGCCCACTGATTAAAATTAACATAGTTCTGGGTGGCACCACCCAAAAGGCTGGTATAAAAAGGAAAGACAGGCTGGCTGCTTGCTACTTTGTAGCTTCCTGCCTGCTTTGCCTTGGACTGTTTCTCTTCAGCTCTGCCACCCGCTTTGGAGTCAGCTAACTATGGGCTGAAACCTCTACAAATCCTAAACTGAAATGAACTTTTCCTCCTTAACTCTGGGTGTTGGGTCAGAAACAAAAAACCAACTAAGACAGTTTGCTTTTTGGCTGCTGATATTGATCACCTATTCTTACTATGTTTTTCTTCAATTTAACTCATTTTTTTACTTTTCTGCTTGATTTTCTATATCCATTTAAACTTCCACAAATGCACTAAAAATAAAGTGGGGAATAAACAGACAACTCACCTGGGATTTGTTCATTTTCTGCAGTTTTTGGCTAAAGGCAGAGAACTATGAAGGCAGAACTGGACTAGAAAAAAGAAAAAAAAGAAAGCATTGTTATTAAAATCTGACCTGCCTTACAACCCTAGAATATCTTGTTTAGAAGTCCCTACATACTATCTATCCAACTCCTGACATTATTCCTTTAGAAAGAACAAAAAAGATTACAACTGGTAATATATACTTTCCATAAAACAGCATAAGACATCCAAAAAGGCAAAAACTAAGGCAACTCAGAATCAACAGAACCCTCAACTACTGAAATTATCACACAAGGAAGTTTTAAAACAGCTAAGATTCATGTACTTTAATTGAAAAGATAGACAACATGAATGAAAAAACAGGAAATTTAAGATAAAAAAAGAAGAAAAAATCAAATAAAAATGCTAAGAGAAACATTAACAAATGAAAAAATGCCTTCAATAGCTTCATTAATAGACTCAACAGAGTTAAAGAAAATTTCAGTATATACAAAGTAAAACAATATCACATAATAATAAATATGTCAAATCATCAAGAGGATATAACACTATAATATATATGCACATGACAAAACATCAAGAGCAGGCAAAAATTGATAAAACTGGAAGGAAAAATAGCTAAGTACACATTACAGTTTGATATTTCAATATTTTTCTCTCAGTAACTGACAGAACAAGTAGATAAAAAGGCAGTAAAGGTGAGCCACCTTGGCTCAATTAACTTTTATAAACAATCCCATCACCAATAGCAATTTTTACTTAAATAAATATAAAACATTCACTCAGAGAGGGAATTTTCTTGGCCACAGATATGACACATTTAAAAGAACTGAAATTTAAAATTGGGTATATTTTTAACCAAATCAAAATTAAACTCTTAATCAACAAAAGAATGAGCTCTGGAGAAAAAAAAAACCAACATATTTGAAAACTAAGCAATATACTTTTATATAGCTAAGGGGTAAAAAATGAAGCCAGAAGGGAAACTACTAAAACTTTGAGGAGCCTGGTATCCACAGAGTATTCTACCCTACGACCTAGAACACACAATCTTCTCAGCAGCACATGCACTGTCTCCAAAATAGACCACATACTAGTCCATAAAATCTGCAGAAATAAAAAGAATCAAAATCATCCTGTGCATACTACCAGATCATAGTGCACTGAAACTAGAAATCTAGAAATTAATTACAACAGAAGCCATAGAAATTTCACAAACACTTGATGAGTCATGAGAGAAATCTGCTGAAATCCAGATCATTAGTAACTATTATGAGAAATTACTCACCAAATTGGAGAATCTTGAAGAAATAGATTCCTAGACATATGAATTATCAAAACTGAACCAAGAAGACAAAAAAATCTCTGAACAAATGTAGTAACAAGCAATAAAACTGTGGCAACAATAAAGAAATCTACCAAATAAAAAAAGCCTAGAACCCAATGGATTTAACCACCGAGTTCTACAAGAACTTTAAGGAGGATATAACACCAATACTCCTCCAACTCTAATGTATTTTAAAAGGGAAAGATAATTTCCAAACTCAAACTCATTCCTGGCAGCTAGAATTAATCTTGATTCAAAATCCAGAAAAGGACCCAACCAAAAGAAAAAAACTAAAGCCCAATCTCTTTAATGAACACAAAAGCAAAATACCTCTACAAGATACCAGCAAACACAATGCAAAAAAACATCAAAAGATTATATATTAAGAGCAAGTAGGGTTCTTGCCATGGATGTAAGGATGTTTCAATATATGCAAGTTAATAAATGTATACACCACATAAAAAGAGTCAAAGACCAAAAAAAGAATCATATGATCTTTTTTTTTTTTTTTGTCTTTTTCATCGGTACCGGGGATCGAACTCACGACTGCCTGCTTTCAAGGCAGGTGCTTATGCCGCTAAGCTAAGCCCCCAGCCCCCATATGATCATTTTGACAGATGCAGAAAAAGCTTTTAACAAAAATCAAATACCCAATCATGATAAAAACACTAAAGAAATGGGTAAAGAAGGACCTTATCTTAATCTGAACAAACGCTCAACATTTCTGGCCACTAAAGAAATGCAAACAACACTGAGATTCCATCTTACTCCAGAAAGAATGACTACCATCAAGAAATCAAATAACAAATGATAGCAAGGCTTCAAGGGGGGGAAAAGGATTCCTTCTATACTGTTGGTGGGAATGTAAATTAGTATAACCACTATGGAAATCAATATGATGTTTCCTCAAAAAACTAAAAATTGAAACTATTTGACCCAGCTATTCCCTTTCTAGGTGTCTTCCAGAAACAGCGATGTCATATTACAGTGATATATGCATAGCCGTATTTGATGCAGCACAATTCATAATAGTTAAATCCTGGAAGTGACATATATGTTCACCAACAGATAAACACATCAAGAAAATGTGGCATTATATACAAAGGAGTACTACTTTACTATAAAAAAAAGTAAATTTTTTTTATCAGTACCAGGGTTCAAACTCATGACTGCACGCTTGCAAGGCAGGTACTTATGCCGCTGAGCTAAATCCCCAGCCCCAAAGAAGAATAAATTTTGAAAAAAAGGATAAATCTGGGTCATTGTAGGAAAACAGATGCGCTTTGAGATCATAATGTTGAGTGGAATAAATCAGATATAGAAGCTCAAATATTGAAAGGTTTCTTATATGAGAAAACCAAAGTATAAATAAAGAGCAAAGTGAAAGACAGATAATAGAAATAGGGAGATAAGATCTTTTACAAATTAAATAGGATCAAGAAATCGACTTTCAGGAGAACATGGCGGACAGATAACAGATACTACGGAGGCTCTCTGAAAGGCTTGGTTCAGAAGTCAGGAAGGGTGCAGAGTAAGGAGACATAAGCAGGTGGAGATATGCTCTGCTGACTCAGGAACGAACTGGGCTGAGAGAAACCAACTTGGAATGCAGTCCTGGTGCTAAAACAGGAACAGAAAAGCCTCAGTGTGGAGGCTGGAGCCCGCGCCATTGGAAGCTGCAATTTGGGTTTCCCACCACGCGGCGGCTGGCTACCTCTACAGCGGCTCGGCAAGGAGAGAGACACGCGGAAGCTCTGAGAACGGCAATCTGCGAACGGAGTCGAAAACAGGACGGGCAGGGAGGCGTGCACTGACTTGTGGTGAGGTGAGTGAGAGAAACTGACACTCTAC